TTAAGGTATGGACTGACGCATGAGTGAGGGCGGTCATGTATGTTTGTCATTGTGTGGTGTTAAAGGTTGGGACTGACGCATGAGTGACGGCGGTCATGTATGTTTGTCCATGTGTGGTGTTAAAGGTTGGGACTGACGCATGAGTGAGCGCGGGCATGTGTGTTTGTCAATGTGTGGTGTTAAAGGTATGGACTGACGCATGAGTGAGGGCGGTCATGTATGTTTGTCAATGTGTGGTGTTAAAGGTGGGGACTGACGCATGAGTGAGGGCGGTCATGTATGTTTTTCCATGTGTGGTGTTAAAGGTATGGACTGACGCATGAGTGAGGGCGGTCATGTATGTTTGTCCATGTGTGGTGTTAAAGGTTGTGACTGACGCATGAGTGAACTCGGTCATGTATGTTTGTCCATGTGTGGTGTTAAAGGTTGGGACTTACGCATGAGTGAGGGCGGTCATGTATGTTTGTCCATGTGTGGTGTTAAAGGTTGGGACTGACGCATGAGTGAGGGCGGTCATGTATGTTTGTCAATGTGTGGTGTTAAAGGTATGGACTGACGCATGAGTGACGGCGACATGTATGTTTGTCCATGTGTGGTGTTAAAGGTTGGGACTTACGCATGAGTGAGGGCGGTCATGTATGTTTGTCCATGTGTGGTGTTAAAGGTTGTGACTGACGCATGAGTGAGGGCGGTCATGTATGTTTGTCCATGTGTGGTGTTAAAGGTTGGGACTGACGCATGAGTGAGGGCGGTCATGTATGTTTTTCCATGTGTGGTGTTAAAGGTTGGGACTGATGCATGAGTGAACTCGGTCATGTATGTTTGTCCATGTGTGGTGTTAAAGGTTGGGACTTACGCATGAGTGAGGGCGGTCATGTATGTTTGTCCATGTGTGGTGTTAAAGGTATGGACTGACGCATGAGTGAACTCGGTCATGTATGTTTGTCCATGTGTGGTGTTAAAGGTTGGGACTGACGCATGAGTGAGGGCGGTCATGTATGTTTGTCCATGTGTGGTGTTAAAGGTATGGACTGACGCATGAGTGAGCGCGGTCATGTATGTTTGTCCATGTGTGGTGTTAAAGGTATGGACTGACGCATGAGTGAGGGCGGTCATGTATGTTTGTCCATGTGTGGTGTTAAAGGTTGGGACTGACGCATGAGTGAGGGCGGTCATGTATGTTTGTCCATGTGTGGTGTTAAAGGTTGGGACTGACGCATGAGTGAGGGCGGGCATGTATGTTTGTCCATTTGTGGTGTTAAAGGTATGGACTTATGCATGAGTGAGGGCGGTCATGTATGTTTGTCCATGTGTGGTGTTAAAGGTTGTGACTGACGCATGAGTGAGGGCGGTCATGTATGTTTTTCCATGTGTGGTGTTAAAGGTATGGACTGACGCATGAGTGAACTCGGTCATGTATGTTTGTCCATGTGTGGTGTTAAAGGTTAGGACTTACGCATGAGTGAGGGCGGTCATGTATGTTTGTCCATGTGTGGTGTTAAAGGTATGGACTGACGCATGAGTGAGGGCGGTCATGTATGTTTGTCCATGTGTGGTGTTAAAGGTTGGGACTGACGCATGAGTGAGGGCGGTCATGTATGTTTGTCCATGTGTGGTGTTAAAGGTATGGACTGACGCATGAGTGAACTCGGTCATGTATGTTTGTCCATGTGTGGTGTTAAAGGTTGGGACTGACGCATGAGTGAGGGCGGTCATGTATGTTTGTCCATGTGTGGTGTTAAAGGTATGGACTGACGCATGAGTCAGGGCGGTCATGTATGTTTGTCCATGTGTGGTGTTAAAGGTTGGGACTGACGCATGAGTGAGGGCGGTCATGTATGTTTTTCCATGTGTGGTGTTAAAGGTTGGGACTGATGCATGAGTGAATTCGGTCATGTATGTTTGTCCATGTGTGGTGTTAAAGGTTGGGACTTACGCATGAGTGAGGGCGGTCATGTATGTTTGTCCATGTGTGGTGTTAAAGGTATGGACTGACGCATGAGTGAACTCGGTCATGTATGTTTGTCCATGTGTGGTGTTAAAGGTTGGGACTGACGCATGAGTGAGGGCGGTCATGTATGTTTGTCCATGTGTGGTGTTAAAGGTAGGCACTGTCGCATGACTGGGGGCGGTCATGTATGTTTGTCCATGTGTGGTGTTAAAGGTTGGGACTGACGCATGAGTGAGGGCGGTCATGTATGTTTGTCCATGTGTGGTGTTAAAGGTTGGGACTGACGCATGAGTGAGGGCGGTCATGTATGTTTGTCCATGTGTGGTGTTAAAGGTATGGACTGACGCATGAGTGAGGGCGGTCATGTATGTTTGTCCATGTGTGGTGTTAAAGGTTGGGACTTACGCATGAGTGAGGGCGGTCATGTATGTTTGTCCATGTGTGGTGTTAAGTGCACCTGTGGCTCTTCCGAATCAATATACTAACGGCATTACATTTGGTTTCCAGATCATGACGAAGCAGGGATTTGAAGGAAGCGTCAGCGACTACTTCAAAGGCATAATGAATGATACTCGCTTCTTCTTCGACACCGCAGTAGGTCACAGCTTATGACTCTCCATCACCCACATCCTCGTTACACAATCCCCGGTGAACCTTGAATATTCCGGGCCTCTCATCGGTTCTACACTTGCAGGATAGTACACTGTAACACCGACCCCCCAACACATTACTCTATAATAACGAATCCCCTGTCACTGAAATTGTAACAGTGATCCCAAATCCATTTATCAACACGGTGTAATTTCAATTCCATTATTTTGTAACAGTGATCCCCTAATCCATCACTGTATATATGTGACTCCATCCATCACAGTGACCGCTAATCCTTGCCACAGTAACAGTGATCGTCCAACCCATACCACAGTAACAGTGATCCCTAACCCATACCACAGCAATAGTGATCCTCTCATCCATACCACAGTAACAGTGATCCTCTCACCCATACCACAGTAATAGTGATCCTCTCACCCATACCACAGTAATAGTGATCCTCCCACTCATACCACAGTAACAGTGATCCTCTCAACCATACCACAGTAACAGTGATCCCTAACCCATACAACAGAAATAGTGATCCTCTCACCCATACCACAGTAACAGTGATTCTCTTACCCATACCACAGTAATAGTGATCCTCTCACCCATACAACAGTAATAGTGATCCTCTCGTCCATACCACAGTAACAGTGATCCTCTCACCCATACCACAGTAATAGTGATCCCCTAACCCATACCACAGTAACAGTGATCCCCTAACCCATACCACAGTAACAGTGATCCCCTACCTCATGCCGCAGTAACAGTGATCCCCTGACCCATACCACAGTAACAGTGATCCCCTAACCAATACCACAGTAACAGTGATCCCCTAACTCATACCATAGTAATAGTGATCCCCTAACTCATACCACAGTAACAGTGATCCCCTAACCCATACCACAGTAACAGTGATCCTCCCTAACCCATACCACAGTAACAGTGATCCCTAACCCATACCCATACCATAGTAATAGTGATCCCCTAACTCATACCACAGTAACAGTGATCCCCTAACCCATACCACAGTAACAGTGATCCCCTAACCCATACCATAGTAATAGTGATCCTTTAACTCATACCACATTAACAGTGTTCCTCTCACCCATACCACAGTAACAGTGATCCCCTAACCCATACCACAGTAACAGTGATCCCCTAACCCATACCACAGTAACAGTGATCCCCTAACCCATACCGCAGTAACAGTGATCCCCTAACCCATACCACAGTAACAGTGATCCCTAACCCATACCATACCACAGTAACAGTGATCCCCTAACCCATACCACAGTAACAGTGATCCCCTAACCCATACCACAGTAACTGTGATCCCCTAACCCATACCACAGCAACAGTGATCCCCTAACCCATACCACAGTAACAGTGATCCCCTAACCCATACCATAGTAATAGTGATCCTTTAACTCATACCACATTAACAGTGATCCTCTAACTCATGCCGCAGTAACAATGAGTGAGTGAGTATTTGTTACGCTGCTTTTAGCAATATTCCAGCAACATCACAGCGGGGGACACCAGAAATTGGTTTCACACATGTACCCATGTGGGGAATCGAACCCGGGTCTTCGGTGTGTCGAGCGAACGCTTTAACCACTAGGCTACTCCACCGCCCCTCACAGTAACAGTCACCCCTCTAACCCATGCCGCAGTAACAGTGATCCTCTTTTCCGTTACTCATTACTCGGTAACAGCGATCCCCTAACCCAAGCCACAGTAGGGGTTACCTGCTCTCTTACATGTACGATCTATTTACTTCGAGCCGTCCCTTGCTGTGGTCGTCGTGTACTTCTGTATAATGTTTGCTTTTGTTTGTCGTTTAAAGTAGTATTCAGCAATATCTCCTGACCCTATACTTGTATCTTTATCCCGTATCCGCTTCAGTCTGTCTCGATATGTCTATCCATTTGGTTACCTGCCCTGCACTGTGTGACTATCTCTCTAACTATCGGTCCGATTCCCTTACAATGTTTGTGTTTGTTGTACATAACCCATATTGTTCTTTGTTGTAAATCTTCTGGAGGTAATAAAGAAGTATATAATTATGAGCATCGAACTACGCAACTGGTATGCGATGACATGTGTCAACCAAGTCAGCGAGCCTGACCACCCCATCCCGTTAGTCGCCTCTTTACGACAAGCATGAGTTGCTGAATACCAATTCTAACCTGTATCTTCACAGGTTTGCATAATTCCTACATCTTGTTTCAGGATGAGATGATAGAAGAGTATGAGAAACAGATCTTCTCAGTGGTGGAACCAAATCTGGAGGGGTATTTCAGTGATATGCCAGGGTTACCAATTGAGTGAGTGATCCACAAACAAAACTTTGAGCAAAACCAAAACGTCCACTACTGTAAATTCACAGGGAGAACATCATCGACGGGTCACTATACTGTATATATAGATGTGATTCTGCGCAGGGTCCGACCAACGCCCAATGATGGTCCAATAGGCTCCTACAGCAGTGGGTCAGCGGACGGTTCCAGACCTGGTATATTTTGGGCCAATGTCCTGCGCCCCGAGTCGAGGTCAGTACCAACACCTGTACACCTTCATGTCATGTGCGTGGCAGTTAGCGTTGTCTTGTATCGTACTTGTCTGTACATACAGAGCACCATAGCGTGATAACTGTGGAAGGTGGTGGGCAGTTACTTTATGTTATGACATCGGTTTGTTGCAGCCCCAACCTGACGATGATGGCGCTCACCCTCCACGAGGCTAACCCCGGACATCACTTGCAGGTGGGTGACCAGTCAACGCTACTGACCACTTGAGAATGTGGCAAAGTGAAAGAAGCACCCTGTAAATATCTCACGGCGGACTGAACGAGAACGCCCGACCTTTCTTTACACTCACTGTTGCCATAACACTCTAACTACTATTACCACCCTCTAAATAAACTATTAGTGTTGTGCAATGGGAACAAGAGATGTTTTCTAGTCAATATCTCAGTAGTCGTTCAAATATATCGTCATTATTATGTACGTACGAGTAGGTAGTTCATACTTCCTTTCCCTTGACTAGACAGATGCGCTGAATTCAGCATTGTTTTCTTGTTTTTGAACCCAGATCAGCTATTCCATCACATCAGACACGCCCGACTTCCGCCAGAAGATGGAGTCCTCGGCTCTGAATAAAGTCCCTTTTGCCTTCCCGAGATACACTGCCTTTGTGGAGGTATGTTCGCGTTGTGACAACGCCGAGACAACGTAAAATTGTTAGCTGGGAAACTGGATTTATATCATAATTTGTTCACTGGTCGGAAGGGCGAGTGGAACATAAACAAACGTAGAGGGACCCCGAGGGACAAGTGAACAACTACTTATCTTACCGAACACCTCAGTGTTAATTTTGAATTGTTTGAAGCAGGGGTATCGGATTCGCAAACTATCGGTAATTTCCGTACAGCATACGTGACTCAATCATTCGAGATAAAGAATTACTAACAAGAAGTACCAAATGTATTGCCACAGTTCAGTATTCCCAGCGGGTAACATAGAAAATGTTATCCGCTTGCAAGCGGGGTACACTGAAAAAAATAGAAGAGCGCTCAGCCAGTCAGAAAACGACATTTATGTGAGAGATAAGATACGTTCAGTTAACTCCCCTTAAAGCGGAACGAGGTTCATCGGTCGCATCCACTCACTCTGTGGTGATACCGTCATCATGTTGTCTGCTCCAGGGCTGGGCGCTGTATTCCGAGTTCTTAGGAGAGGAGATGAAGCTGTACAGAGATGACTATGAACTGTAAGTTTGTTCCCTCCAATAGAGCTATGTATCCTTCTCACAGAGCAATGTATTCTTCTCACAGAGCTATATATTCTTCTCACAGAGCTATGTATACTTCACACAGAGCAATGTATACTTCTCACAGAGCAATGTATACTTCTCACAGAGCAATGTATTCTTTTCACAAAGCAATGTATACTTCTCACAAAGCAATGTATACTTCTCACAGAGCAATGTATACTTCTCACAGAGCAATGTATTCTTCCCACAGAGCAATGTATTCTTCTCACAGAGCAATGTATTCTTCTCACAAAGCAATGTATTCTTATCACAGAGCAATGTATTCTTCTCACAGAACAATGTATACTTCTCACAGAGCAATGTATACTTCTCACAGAGAAATGTATACGTCTCACAAAGCAATGTATTCTTCTCACAGATAGATGTATACTTCTCACAAAGCAATGTATTCTTCTCACAGAGCAATGTATTCTTCTCACAGAGCAATGTATTCTTCTCACAGAGCAATGTATTCTTCTCACAAAGCAATGTATTCTTCTCACAGAGCAATGTATTCTTCTCACAGAGCAATGTATACTTCTCACAGAGCAATGTATACTTCTCACAGAGCAATGTATACTTCTCACAAAGCAATGTATACTTCTCACAGAGCAATGTATACTTCTCACAAAGCAATGTATTCTTCTCACAGAGAAATGTATTCTTCTCACAGAGCAATGTATACTTCTCACAAAGCAATGTATACTTCTCACTCACAGAGCAATGTATACTTCTCACAGAGCAATGTATTCTTCTCACAAAGCAGTGTATTCTTCTCACAAAGCAATGTATTCTTCTCACAGAGCAATGTATTCTTCTCACAGAGCAATGTATACTTCTCACAAAGCAATGTATTCTTCTCACAGAGCAATGTATTCTTCTCACAGAGCAATGTATACTTCTCACAAAGCAATGTATTCTTCTCACAAAGCAATGTATACTTCTCACAGAGCAATGTATACTTCTCACAAAGCAATGTATTCTTCTCACAAAGCAGTGTATTCTTCTCACAAAGCAATGTATTCTTCTCACAGAGCAATGTATTCTTCTCACAGAGCAATGTATACTTCTCACAAAGCAATGTATTCTTCTCACAGAGAAATGTATTCTTCTCACAGAGCAATGTATACTTCTCACAGAGCAATGTATACTTCTCACAGAGCAATGTATTCTCCTCACAGAGCAATGTATTCTTCTCACAAAGCAATGTATACTTCTCACAGAGCAATGTATACTTCTCACAGAGCAATGTATACTTCTCACAGAGCAATGTATACTTCTCACAAAGCAATGTATACTTCTCACAAAGCAATGTATACTTCTCACAGAGCAATGTATACTTCTCACAAAGCAGTGTATTCTTCTCACAAAGCAATGTATTCTCCTCACAGAGCAATGTATTCTTCTCACAGAGCAATGTATACTTCTCACAAAGCAATGTATTCTTCTCACAGAGAAATGTATTCTTCTCACAGAGCAATGTATTCTTCTCACAGAGCAATGTATTCTTCTCACAAAGCAATGTATTCTTCTCACAGAGCAATGTATTCTTCTCACAGAGCAATGTATTCTTCCCACAGAGCAATGTATACTTCTCACAGAGCAATGTATACTTCTCACAGAGCAATGTATTCTTCACACAGAGCAATGTATTCTTCTCACAGAGCAATGTATACTTCTCACAGAGCAATGTATTCTTCTCACAGAGCAATGTATACTTCTCACAGAGCAAGGTATACTTCTCACAGAGCAATGTATTCTTCTCTCAGAGCTATGTATACTTCTCACAGAGCAATGTATACTTCTCACAGAGCAATGTATACGTCCACAGAGCAATGTATACTTCTCACAGAGCAATGTATACTTCTCACAGAGCAATGTATACTTCTCACAGAGCAATGTATTCTTCTCACAGAGCAGTGTATTCTCGTGTAAAGATTGCAAACAGATCCTTAAGACATTTGTTAATACGATAAAGTGTGTTCCAGGATGGGTCGGTACAGTTCTGAAATGTTCCGAGCGTGTAGACTGGTTGTGGACACAGGCATACATGCCTTCAGGTATGAAATGTTTGCTTGCTTGATTGTTTCTGGAATATACCTGGTTGCAAGGTAAAACCAATTAAAAATATAATATAATGAATACCAAAGACTCCTGCACCACAAGCCTCTTACACTTTCTATAACCTGTGAGCACCCATAAAAAGAACCCGCCTATGACTTGTTGCCTATGACTTATTTTTTGTTCATAGTGCCATGAGCAAGCACTCTCTGTGTGGAATTTGGCGCAGTATAAGTACACATAATATTACACAGCCAGTACCCCTTCTGCAGCGTTAACACAGTCACATACGGACATATAATAAGTGGTCATCTTGGCACAGCTGGACACGTGACGAGGCCATTGACTACATGTTGAACTACACAGCCAGGTCGTATGAGGCCGTTGCAGTGGAGATTGACCGCTACATCACGTGGCCTGGTCAAGCTCTGGCCTACAAGATCGGGGAGATCAAGATCCTGGAGCTGCGACGGAAGGCGGAGGAGAAGCTAGGTAGTTGGTGATGCATTGCTTGTAGTTTGTAGGCAAATTGTAGGGACTTTTCACATTGATGACGTAACGAACGGTGAATAAAGTTACCCAGTTTGATCTAAGCTATGTTCAGGCAAGTAGTTATTACACCATGACTAAACCGTTCTTCAGTGATGCTCAAATCGGAGATGATTAAGTTTAATGAAATGATGAGCACTCAGATCCTTGTATGCGATGTACCCCCCGCACAGTCAGTAAGCATGTGTTTGCTGGTTAACGACACGCATCAACCAGGTCAGTCAGCGAGCTTGACCACCCGATCCCGTTAGTTGCTTATTAGACAGGTAAGGGTTGAGTAAAAAATGTCATCGACAACCGTATGTTTCGTCAGATATACATCCACCGAATCTTGAAATTGCACGCAATTGTGTGGGCAGATATATTTAGTTTAGTTTGGAGGTATTGAACTGACTCTCATACACATCTGACCTTTTGTAACTCCATATTGTTTTCGCTAAGATATATTTTCAACTGTTTTCAGGTGGCAGGTTTGACATCCGGGAGTTTCATTCCGTTGTCCTGGAAAGCGGAACCCTTCCCCTGACAGTCCTGGAGGATCTCGTTAACGACTGGCTTGACTCCTACCCGGAACCAGCCACTCCAGCCCCCGGGACCCCCGCCCCTTCCACGTGTGGAGCTGCAGGTCTTGTGTCGTCCCTGGTGTGGGTGATTCTCGGCCTGTGCGCCCTCCCTCCAGTCGTGTAGGAGGGTGTCATCTGACTGTTTCCCGTTACACTGTTTGTTGTTGCCGGTCTAGCATCTGCTGAGTTCAGATTACCTATACCACGTAAGCTTTGTATACTTATCGTTATACTGACTGTTGCCCATAGATAATCTCTTCTAATGTACCGTCTGTTACTGCGTCCTGTATACAAATGTGCTATGTACGTTACCCATGATAAACAGACTATCGGCCCGTCATCATCCCATCAGTCTTAACGTCCCCACGTAAAGCTTCCGCACTCCTTGTACACAACGTTTCGATGCCACGTCTTGGGTCTCCATAAACAAGTCCAGATATTTCATTGCCCCGATGAAGAGTAAACAGAATTGCCCATGTATCTGATGTCTCTGTATACCACCCTGACAAGTGCACAGTTCAAGCTAATGCTGCATGGAATTTCCCTTCCCTGTTGTAAGTCTCATCATGTTTCAATATGTTACGTATCGATCCATGTGCTTGTTGCTTATATATCCACGTGAGAATTGATTGATGAAAATCTTATTTCGAGAAGATAATGATAAACCCTGATCTGCACCCTGCTGATCCCCTGTGGATTACCTTGCCTGCCCAGTACGAGCTGGTGACCCCCAGTCCAATACTTGAATGAACTTGTCACATTGTTGCTGTGTCCACCTGAGGTCCGGTGTTAAATATCAGACTTCTGATCAGCATCACGTGGAGATGACTCATCCCTGAGAGGTGTTGATACCTGGAGTCTGGTGTATCACCATCCCTGAGTGTGTTGATACCTGGAGTCTGGTGTATCATAATCCCTGAGTGTGTTGATACCTGGAGTCTGGTGTATCATCATCCCGGAGTACAGCGCCATCTTGCCACAAGTTCAGTGGTCAGCTTCCCTTGCACACGGACATGTCATAATAATTATACTTTCTTTAAAATTGCATATAAAGATCATACATTAGTATTTGCTTTTGTTGTGACCGAACTGTTATGTGTTAGTTTCCGTCCATCAGGACTACCGTCTGAGACCATGTGATACCAAGTCCATATCGGTGTCTGTGCGTGTGTGTCTTGGTAGGGGAATGGGTGGGTAGGGTAGGTGTTTTACTACAGTGTAAAACACAATAATCCATCGTTCTGATTTATTTAAACTAGTAATTAGAAACTTATATTTCGAAATACAGATGATACATTTTCATTATTTAAATCAGAAAAGGCACGTGTACGTCACGCCCGAGACGTTCCACGTAATGAGAGCACTCACCGAGGGATTCCTCACACTGAGGTGCAGTACGGTTTATTTATGAAAATACCTTATACGCACAACACACTTTAAAAACGGTAAATTTTAATTGATAAAGTAATAACAATACAAATATATTATTCATTTGCAATAACGCAAGTCAGATTCTACATGAAAGAGATCTACAGAGAAAGAAAAGCACCCTGTGCAATGACCCATGTTGGCAGTGTGGCTCTCTGTGTTGCTACACTGCACCTTGGTCCACTTGACTGAAGAAATGCTTACACATCAACAAATCGTACTGTGCCCCAAATGACTTCATGAATAGCCTAACGTCACACAATTTACATTCCTGTATAAAGCGCTGACCTTGGAGTTACTGAGCACAACGCCATGATAACTTGAGATATACGTCACTCCCAAAGTACACGAAACTTAAACATATTGGAGCTGCAGCCGACTTGAAGTGAGTACACAAATTATATAATCTTACAAGCATATAGTGTAACTAAGTTAAACACAGTGAACCATCGAGACAGCTAAAGCCTGCCGGAGTACTGTAGTGGTCACACAAACAGGCCATTTGTATGGTAAGGATATCGCAATCCACTACAAAGATGATATCTAATGTATCGGACAGGCGCAGACAGTTGCCATCTACATGCTATAATGTAAAATGCTTTAAATAAAGATGGAATGTGATTATTGTGTTATGTACACAATACAGTGGACATCTAAATATGCAGCTATGCATTATAATTGACATCTTGGGTAACAATCAGCACCATTAATTAGTGTTACGTCTTTAGTTGATCAAATCACACAGTTTGGGTTCCGACGTGAGGCCTCAGAATTCTATCAAATGCAAAAGTCATCAGTGATGGCGTTTCCTTGAGGTGAACATTAACCGCTTGTTAATCAAGCAAATCCGTCCATCGTCAACCTTGGTCGACTTTTGTATGTCCTTCTTCAGCAGTTATGGCAGGGGTTTCCCAAGGGACTTAAACATCCTCATGGCCTTCACACCTCTCAACAGCTTGGTCTTGGCATTTTCAAACTTCTGAATAATGATCTTATTCTCGGGGTCTATGTCAAGTTTGCTTGGATCCGCTACCACCCTGGCTTTGATGAAGCCTTTCATGATGGCTTCATGCACGGAGATCTTCTGATGGGTCTTGTTGTTGATGTACTCGCCGGTCTCCTTGTCCAGCAGACCCTGTCTGATGGCATCGCTGAACGGCACCTTCTCCTTCCGCAGTTGGTCCACCACACCGCTCACGCTGTATGTCTTCGTCACAACCTGCGGCTTTGCATGCGGCTGGTGCTTTTCGTCGTACTCCACCAACACAAGTCCGCTGGAGATGGCGTCTGCTATTGGCATCTTCTCTCCAGTGTCAGTCCTGTATTCCGAACAGCTGCTGTCCAAGATCCCCTTTTCCATTGCCACGTCGAGAGGCAGTCTCTCGTCTGTGTGTGGATCAAGTACAGCCTGGATGCTGAAGGGCCGGGTCTCGTGGGTGGTCTTGATTGTGATCAACCCGAAGGTCTTCTTCTCTTCGCGGATCTTCTGTTTTGACACAATCTCCATGAGTATCTTGCCGTCATTGATGGCCTCGTTGACGTCCATAGTGCGCCCGGAACGAGGGTTGATGTACAGACCCTTTCCCTGGTCGATGATTCCTTTCATGATAGCCTCCTGTAGAGTCATCTCGTTGTTGTTGTTCGGGTCCAGCACTCCCTGGGGAAATATCAAACACATACTCAACACATATGGCAAACATCTGATATTTAAAAAAATATTCATTAAGAAGTCGTTTAATTTATAGAAAAGGGAAATTACTTAAGAATTTGAGGAAGCAATGAAAATACTGACGACTGCTACATATCTACGTATTTTACGGTACGCGGAAGATCATTCTCAGGTTGAAAAGGGAAAAGTTCTCTAAACCGGCACGATCTCTATACCGGCATTTTGCTGGTCCCAACGAATGCCGGTTTAGAGGGCTTCCACTGTACTTCTATTTCTACACATTTTTTATGCAGACGCTATCCCAAGCACGTGTATCTTTGAGACGAAGTGACTCCTACCTTGACTATAAACGTGTGACATTCCTCCACCTCCTCCGACACAACCTCCTCGGATGTTGTCTCCTCGTGTTGTGTCTCCACGGTCACCTCACTACTGACTGGCATCTCCTCGCGTGGCTTCTCATACAGTGCTAGTGATGCCTGTGACTTCTTGATGTCCTCAATATCCAGATGTGTGTCCCAGAATCTGACAATCACACACACACACTTTTACCATATGTCAACATCTCTGCCTATATCTGGCAACAATACATACATGTCCAATCGCCATCTGTTAACAACCCGTGGCTATGTCTCTGTCCACAAAACCTGACTTATGTGACAGACATATTCACAGTTACCATCTAGCCATCTGTTAAAAAAAGTAATTATGACAGACTAAGTTGAGAGAATAGTCCTTGCACACACATTTGAACCATCTAAAGTACTGCATGGGCATAGAGACACACAGATACGTAATGCACCGATATTAAGAGTTGGACAAGATGTTTGGTAGAAGCAGTCTTACACAATTAATGTTATATTGTAGTGGCACTTTACATTGTTTCTAATCACTAATCAGTAACATTTGAGAGTGATTAAGAAGCAGAATGAAGAAATTGGACTGACTTGACGAAGTGTGCTGTGGTGATGTATCTCAGCTGGTCCCACTTGTCACACACCAGCAGGTGCTTAGGCTGCTTCAGGAGCTCCACGATCACCTTGAACGTCTCCCAGTACGCCCAGAAGTCCTACATCAGGAATAGAATAAAGTATAGTTCAGGTTATATTTAACCCAAAGCTAAATGGACATAAGCATAGAGAAACATCTAATTCGACACCTGTGACACACTTTGACCTAACATATTTATTTAACGTTGTCATGCACGTGTTGAAAAGAAAAATGACTTATTTACATGAAGTATTACCAAGAACCTCAGAATAACTATTGACGTAAAAGAAATGTTTCTTAAATATGTGCCAACAAGTATCCTTATTATGTCTGTGTGGTCTACAGATGATGATAGGTAAATCTATGCCAACGTCAATGTACATACACTGTATTTCATCAACATCTCCTCCAGTGTCTTGATCTGCACCACGACAGTCGACAGCAGCTCGTCATCTGCAATCAACCAGCTCACACTCACTGACCACGTATATGTGTATTTGTTCAGCCACCAATATGTTTATCGCATACACACATACACCTGTTACCATCCTCCGACTCACTGACGACACATATCTGTATTTGTTCATCCATCAATATTGTCTATCAGGTACACACATCCACCTCACAACGCACATCTTTTCCTGTTTGTGCATATGATACATACGTGTCAGTGATCGGAATCTATATATACATGTCTGAGCTAGTATGACTTTACACAAGCAGACTCCATGTGTACGCGATTTCTCCATACCGGAAACACCTCCTTCAGGCGCCTCTTCCATGATCATGCGCAGTCGCTCCATGCGTTCCTCCAGCTCGCTGTAGTCGGAGTAGCCTGTCCAGTTCTTGCCCAATGTATCTTCGATGTACTTGAGAATGCGCAGCAGCTCTAACTTGTCCGTCTCATTCATGCATTGAAGGATTGACACCTGGACAAACGTCACGTGATATGTCAGTTGCGGGACATAAGGGACGCGGCCATCGTGTATCCCAACATGAATACGACATCTAGGCTATCTCTACAGCTCATTTAACAGGCAAGTCGCCATGATGACAATTTCTTTACTGAGGTGTAAAGCAAGGAGAAAATATTTTCACATACTTATTGAAACTGAGTGTAAGAAGAATGGACATGGGAGGAATTCACACATTATTACAATATACGTGTTTACCGTTATTTTGAGGTTTGGTGAAGTTTACCATGTAACTGAGGGAACTAATGTCAACAACAACCTACAAATAGCTTGGTTAGTACAATCAAACAGATGATATACACCGAAGTGAAATAATAAAAAATGTGGGTGAGGACAATGGCGTGCTGTGCTGTGGAAGTATGTGTTGAAATTATTACGTATACTTGCTATCCATATAATCTGTTATCTCATATTTCCGTTTACCATCGACCCGTGAAGATTCGGGTTAGAATTGATCTTCAGTAACCCATGCTTGTCGTAAAAGGCGACCAACGGGATCGGGTGGTCAGACTCGCTGTCTTGGTTGACGCATGTCATCGTATCCCAGTTGCGAAGATCGCTGTTTATGCTGTTGATCACTGGATTGTCTGGTCAAGACTCAATTATTCAGAGACCGCCTCCATACAGCTGGAATATTGCTGAGTGCGGCGTAAAACTCAGCTCACTCACTCCGTTTACCATCAGTATATATGATCATTCTCACTGTTAACGTCTCACGCTAACCCATTGTATACGATGTCCTCTATCTATCATTTTGAAAAAGAACGGTGTGTAGAATTGTCTTGTGCATGGAATAGGGAGTAGAAGAATATGTTGTAGATTTGTCGTATGGATGGAAAGATTAGGGTGTAGAACTGTCTTGGATAGAATGGAGTGTCGATGGAACTGATAGAACGTAGGACTGGCGTTTAGATGGATTATATAGGGTGTAGGACAGGCTATAGACATAATGACGTAAGGAAGAATGACCCTTCCCTAAAATGACAGTAGTGAAAGGTACCATCAACAGTCATTTGTAGGAGGTATTTGTATAAACACGAGGGTTGATTGTTCGGAGCCCTACATAGCGGGTTTTGAGTCATAGTGAAGCAGTTTATTATTGTGAACCTTGCATGGTGTGATAAACAAATATCTACACACTATTACGTCAACGTGAGGACACTGTTTCACTTTGACATACCAGTGACAGGCTGGAGTATGTGGCCTTTGAAACCCGCAAACATGTGAGAAGAGCTGAGAACGGTCAATCAACCCTCGTATGTGTACATATTCAAATATATAATTCAGGTACATGTCTTTTCAGATGTGCACAATTCGAGAAAAGCCTAGGCTGTAAAACAACAGAACGCTTCGGCAACACCACATTATGGCATCAACACAACATGACGTCCACAAGCATAGCGATAAAGTCAATGGGAGAAACCACGCAGGTTCACGGCACACAATGTTTTCAAATGAACAGATGTAAGAACACGTTATGTGCTTATCACGTTTATCTGATGCCCGTATAGAAACACTAGCACCTTGGTTTAGTCATGCTGGCCAACCACCCGAATATACACATGCACAATCTGCTTACTGTAATAACATCAACACCTTTGACCCCATAGCTGTGCCCGACACAGACCATTCACCTTTACACATTTCTTCTAATGTAACTTGTTTTGAGGCTATTATACACTTAATATTCATGTGTGTGACAAAACCGTCTTTCAAATACGTGGAAAAAACAGTTGTTATACGCAACACAGGACGAGCAGACGACACAGACAAGCAAATGGCCCGTTACCTTGTCCTTGGCGCTCTGCATAGAGAGATGAGGTTATCAGTAGATGCATACCGCAAGATGAACACATAAAGTTAACACTGAGAAGCGTCATGCCATTCTCTTACAATTATATCGTATAGCACAGCCACAAAGCTGACAACCTGTAAATCTTAAACATGTAAGCTTGACAGGTCCAAGGATATATGCTTGCATGACAGTAATGCAGCTTGTAAAGCCATACAAATAGACACAGCATAGTATAACCTGTATCCTCAGCATTCCGCTGAATATATTCAAAGGGTGTCAGTGCTGCGTGCTTATTAGATGTTTACCCAAACATTAGTCTCACTATCCTACTCCACCTCAATGCTCACCCAAACATTAGTCTCCTTATCTTACTCCAACTCAATGCTCACCCAAATATTAGTCTCTCACTATATTACTCCTGCTCAATGTTCACCCAAACATTAGTTTCTTATCCTACTCCAACTCAATGCTCACTCAAACATTAGTCTCCTTATCTTACTCCAACTCAATGCTCACCCAAACATTAGTCTCCTTATCTTACTCCAACTCAATGCTCAACCAAACATTAGTCTGCTTATCTTACTCCTGCTCAATGCTCACCCAAACATTAGTCTCCTTATCTTACTCCAACTCAATGCTCACCCAAACATTAGTCTCCTTATCTTACTCCAACTCAAAGTTCACCCAAACATTAGTCTCCTTATCTTACTCCAACTCAATGCTCACCCAAACATTAGTCTCCTTATCTTACTCCAGCTCAATGCTCACCAAAACATTAGTCTCCTTATCTTACTCCCAAGCAAATGCTCACACAAACATTAGTCTCCTTATCTTACTCCTGCTCAATGCTCACCCAAACATTAGTCTCCTTATCTTACTCCAACTCAATGCTCACCCAAACATTAGTCTCCTTATCTAACTCCTGCTCAATGCTCACCCAAACATAAGTCTCCTTATCTTACTCCAACTCAATGCTCACCCAAACATTAGTCTCCTTATCTTACAAAAACTCAATGCTCACCCAAAAATTAGTCTCCTTATCTTACTCCAACTCAATGGTCACACAAACATTAGTCTCCTTATCTTACTCCTGCTCAATGCTCACCCAAACATTAGTCTCCTTATCTTACTCCTGCTCAATGCTCAACCAAACATTAGTCTCCTTATCTTACTCCAGCTCAATGCTCCCCCAAACATTAGTCTTCTTATCTTACTACTGCTCAATGCTCACCCAAATATTAGTCTCCTTATCTTACTCCAACTCAATGCTTACCTAAACATTAGTCTCCTTATCTTACTCCAGCTTAATGTTTACCCAAACATTAGTCTCACTCTCCTACTCCAACTCAATGCTCACCCAAACATTAGTCTCCTTATCTTACTCCAACTCAATGCTCACCTACACATTAGTCTCCTTATCTTACTCCAGCTCAATGCTCACCAAAACATTAGTCTCCTTATCTTACTCCAGCTCAATGCTCACCAAAACATTAGTCTCCTTATCTTACTCCAGCTCAATGCTCACCCAAACATTAGTCTCACTATCTTACTCCTGTTCAATGCTCACCCAAACATTAGTCTCCTTATCTTACTCCAACTCAATGCTCAACCAAACATTAGTCTCCTTATCTTACTCCTGCTCAATGCTCACCCAAACATTAGTCTCCTTATCTTACTCCAACTCAATGCTCACCCAAACATTAGTCTCCTCATCTTACTCCAACTCAATGCTCACCCAAACATTAGTCTCCTTATCCTACTCCAACTCAATGCTCACCCAAACATTAGTCTCCTTATCTTACTCCTGCTCAATGCTCAACCAAACATTAGTCTCCTTATCTTATTCCAGCTCAATGCTCCCCCAAACATTAGTCTTCTTATCTTACTCCTGCTCAATGCTCACCCAAATATTAGTCTCCTTATCTTACTCCAACTCAATGCTTACCTAAACATTAGTCTCCTTATCTTACTCCAGCTTAATGTTTACCCAAACATTAGTCTCACTCTCCTACTCCAACTCAATGCTCACCCAAACATTAGTCTCCTTATCTTACTCCAACTCAATGCTCACCCAAACATTAGTCTCCTTATCTTACTCCAGCTCAATGCCCACCAAAACATTAGTCTCCTTATCTTACTCCAGCTCAATGCTCACCAAAACATTAGTCTCCTTATCTTACTCCTGCTCAATGCTCACCCAAACATTAGTCTCACTATCTTACTCCTGTTCAATGCTCACCCAAACATTAGTCTCCTTATCTTACTCCAACTCAATGCTCAACCAAACATTGGTCTCCTCTTATCTTACTCCTGCTCAATGCTCACCCAAACATTAGTCTCCTTATCTTGCTCCAACTCAATGCTCACTTTAAACATTGATCTCTCATCTTTACTCTAACTCAATGCTCACTTAAACATTGGTCTCCGTATCCTGCTCCAACTCAGTGCTCACTCCAAACATTAGTCCCTTATCTTACTCCAACTCAATGCTCACCCAAACATTAGTCCTCCTTATCTTACTCCTGCTCAATGCTCAACCAAACATTAGTCTCCTTATCTTACTCCTGCAAGATGCTCACAGCCAAACATTGTCTCCTTATCTTGCTCCCAACTCAATGCTCACCCCAAACATTAGTCTCCTCATCTTACTCCAACTCAATGCTCACCCAAACATTGGTCTCCGTATCCTACTCCAACTCAATGCTCACCCAAACATTAGTCTCCATTGACCTGCTCCAACTCAATACTCACCTAAACATTAGTCTCCTTATCACATTCCTTCTCAGTGCTCAATGCTCATTAGTCTTGTATATCTTGCTCCTGCTCAGTGCTCTCCCCAAACATTAGTCTTCTTTATCTTACTCCTGCTCAAATGCTCACTTGGTGCTATTAGTCTCCTTATCTTACTCCAGCTCAGTGCTTACCTAAACATTGGTCTCCTTATCTTACTCCAGCAATGTTTACCCAAACGGTGGTCTCTAGATCTCCCTGCTCCAGCTCAATGCTCACACCAAGCCATTGGTCTCCTTATCTTGCTCCAAACCTCAATGCTCACTAGAACATTGGTCTGCTTATCTTACTCCTGCTCAAGTGCTCACCCAAGACAGTGGTCTCACTATCCCTGCTCAACTCAATGCTCACCCAAACATTAGTCTCACTATCCTGCTCCAGCTCAATGCTCACCCAAACATTAGTCTCCTTGTCTTGCTTACTCCTGCATGCTCACCCAAACATTAGTCTCCTTATCTTACTCCAACTCAATGCTTACCTAAACATTGGTCTCCTTGTCTTACTCCAGCTTAATGTTAACCCAAACATTAGTCTCACTCTCCTATTCCAACTCAATGTTCACCCAAACATTAGTCTCCTTATCTTACTCCAACTCAATGCTTACCTAAACATTAGTCTCCTTATCCTACTCCAGTTCAATGCTCACCCAAACATTCGTCTCCTTATCTTACTCTCCAGCTCAATGCTCACCTCATTGGTCCTTACTCACCTCCAGATCAATGCTCACCCAAACATTGGTCCCCTTATCTTACTCCAGCTCAATGGTCCTTATTCGTCTCACCTTCAAACCAGCTTTCAGTACTTTCCTTCTTGTGCGGCCAACACTCTCCCTCCCGGCTCAGTACTCAACTGGCTGTGGGTCCTTATGCCTCAAACTCAGTATACAAGTCAGTGGTCTCCTTATCTTCTCGGCTCAATGCATGGCTGTGGGTCACTGTCTCCAGCTCAGTACCACATTAGTAACATATCCTGCTCAACTCAGTGCCTGGCTGTGGTCCTCACTGTCTTGCTCCAGCTCAGTGCCTTGGCTGTGGTCCATGTCTCAGCTCAGTGGTCCTGTGGGTCTCCTTGTCACTCGGCTCAGTGCTCACTGTGTGGTTCCTTGTCACCTCCAGCTCAGTGCTTGGGCAGTGGTCTCCATGTCTTGTGGTCTCATGTCTGCTCGGCTGTCTCTCCTGTTTCAGCTCAGTGTTCCTGTGGGTCACCCAAGTCAGCTCAGTGCCTTGGTTGGTCTCATGTCTTGCTCAGCTCAGTGCTCTGTTGGTCTCATGTCTTGTCAGTGCTCGTTGGTCTCCATGTCCATGTGTGGATCACTGCCTCCAGCTGTGCTCACTGGGGTGGTCCTGTGCCTCCAGCTCAATGCTCACTGGGCAGTGGTCTCATGCCTCAAGCTCAGTGCTTGGCTGTGGGTCTCTTGTCTTGCTCAGTGTGGGTCTCATGTCCTCCACTCAGTGCCGTTGGATCATCCTCTCCAGCTCAGTGTCCATGTCTTGCTCAGCTCCGTGCTCCACTGTGGTCTCACTCTTGCTCAGCTCAGTGCCACATTGGTCTCATGTCTTCCTCAGCTCAGTCTCATGGTCTCGGGTCGGTCTCCCTGGGCTGTGGTCTCATGTCTTTTCCTGCTGTGTTCCTGGGATCTGTCCTCCAGCTCAGTGCCTTGTGGTCTGTCCTTGGCTGTGGGTCTCCTCAGTGTCCTTGGGTCTCATGTGGGTCCTTGTGTGGTCTCCTTGTCACTCCAGCTCAGTGCTCACTGGCTTGGTCTGTCTCCAGCTCAGTGTGGGTCCTCACTGTCCTGTTTTCCTTGGTGTGGTCTTGTCCTCAGTCTCCTTATATTTCCTTTCCTTCTGTGGTCTCACCCCATGCCTCCAGCTCCATTTTCCTGTGGTCTCATATGCCTCCAACTCCATGCTGGGTCTCCTTATCCTCCAGCTGTGCCTGGCTGTGGTCTCTCACCTCCTCCAACTCAGTACTCCTTCTGTGTCTCACTGTCACCTCCTGCTCCGTGCACTTGTGGTGGTCTCCTTATGCCTCCAGCTCAGTGCTCACTGGCTGTGCGTCTCACATGCCTCCCCGGCTCACTCCTTGTGTGGTCTCCGTGTCCTACTCCAGCTCAGTACTCCTTGGATCCCTGTCACCTCCAGCTCAGTGCACTGTGGTCTCATGTCTGTCTCGGCTGCTCGGGTCTCTTGGCTCAGTGCTCACTGTGTCTTCTTATGCCT